TATTTCTTTGGTATGAAATATGTATTACATGCAATGTGTGGGTTGGGGCGTTACATTTTGGAACACATCGATCTCATTTTGTCTACCAATCACATGAATACACATAATTATAGAGACTATGTGAATTTCAATAAAAAAAAAATGTAAAAACCCCTATAAACTTATTTTTAACACTTATATATATGATATATAACTGTCTGGTCTTCTAAACTTATATTAGTCTATGAAGACATTTATATTGTCTAATAAATACGATTTTGTTATAGTTTACTAATATAATTAATACGAATTTGAATTGCTAAGTCAAGAATGTGTATCTATACTATATTATAAAGCATTTGACAAAAACTCTTGAAAATCATCTTTTATACATGAAGTACTGTTTATTGATGCATATTACTTAAAATTCAAAATTGAAAGTAAATTGTGTACAAGTACAATTTATTAAGCTCCATATTTGAATTCGTGTAACTAATTATAGATAAATATAATCAAATACAAGATAAAATTTATCTAAAATATAATTAGGATAATTATTAAGTTCTAACATAATATTTAGTTATTATTTTTATAAAATTATATTATTAAACCGAAAACAAATTATTTCGTCATTAAACCTAAATTAAATTATAATTAAAAATTGAATTAAAGAAATTACACAAAAAAATGATATATTTTATGTTTTTTTTATTTTTATGAAATTTTCAAATTTATATTTTAAAAAAGAAACATTATTGTTTGTTCAAAACCACATAAATTCATATTATAATATCTACAGATACAAAAAAAATAAAACAAACTAATAAAATCGATATATATCCCGTTGCATTGCGCGAGTACCTTTCTAGTATAATTAAACAAAATAAGAGGGATTACTTTACCTAGAATAACAACCCGAGACTGTTTTTCTTCAACTACTAATGCCGAGTACATACATATCCAGTTTCGGTTGCTAACCAAGCCATCTTCATTATATTCTGTATTGTTACTGTAATAGCTACCGCCATTGGATCTACACTTTTGAAGTTCTGGGCTAACTAAAAGCACATCATATAAGAGAAAATATACTTCCTGTTAGACAGAAAACACACACACACACGCACAAATACTGTAAACAAAATTTCACATACCATCACATCCATTTCCTATATAATAATTTCCTTCATAATAACCGGGAAAACTGCGGCATTTAAACGACATAACTGATTTACCATTGCCAACATCCACTTTGACATTATCAATTGTATAACAACAATCAATTAGATAGAAGTCACTGTCTGTTAGGGTCCACAAAAGTGATATTGGAACATGAGAGATGTTCTTCGCAAGAGACCGGACTTGTGAATTCTCATCCATCAAGAAGGCCCACCCACAAACTGCATCTCCCCCCACCTGCCTTTCTAAACTCGTCAGATTCAAGCTATACGACTTCAGATTATAAGGGACTATTGTTTGGCAACAATTGATGCCAACACAGTTGCTTATATTTTCGCTAACGAAATCATCGCGACAAGTCGTTGAACACCCTGTGACGACACTCCCTTCGTCCAGGATGACAGCGTTACCACATCCCTGCACAACAAATTTGTTGTAACGTCGGGAAAACAGAAACGGACTCCCATCAAGGTTGACGTTCAAGATTTGGCTGCTATTCCGGACTGGATTCTGGCAATCAGAGATCATTGAGACATTAACAGTTACTGTTTGGTTATCCAAGTTTATGTGCAATACCTCCAGATCGTTGAGTGCAGATAGATATGGTGTGGAGGAGTTGCAGTCAACTGTGTACCATCTATTCACGGAACAGTTTTTTCCGATTCCGAAAGGGTATGGAATCCTCACTTGCCCGCACGTATCGTTGCATCCTCGTTTGGCGTAATACGGGACCGCTGTTGATGATGTTGTTAACGCGAGCAAGATCATAAGTAAACGGAATAACTTCATGTTTTTTTTGTGATAAATAACCATTGGAGGGGTTTATGTATATATATATAATAAGAGGATTTAAGAAAATGGTGGATTTTTCCTACTTATTTGAGTCCATGATTTATTAAAAATATATTTTATTTGGAATGGTTCGCATATAACGACCAGGTCTTTACTTTTGATCTATGACATTATTTTATTTTATTGATATTATATTATCTATACTATCTTATAAACCATTTGGCTAAAATTCTTAAAACTCTTAAATCCGTTCATCCTTAAACGATTTCATCTCATATCTGAATTCGTGTAACTAACTGTAGATAAACACAATCAAATACA